CTCAAAGGCGAGTCTTTTTTATGGAACTTGGGTTTCTTACTACACCTGCCCCCTATTCCCCGAATAAAACAGAGACAAAGGAAATGAAAATGTTACCTGTTGATTGAATGTTCTCTCCAGTGACTGCTGTCAAGTTAAGGAATGTACAGTCCTGTCCGATGTGTATACTGGAAGCTCACAATCATTAATTGAATTCAAGTATCACATACTCATTAAAAAGGGAAAACAATTCACTAAACAGCAAAAACCTTTGTCCTCAAAGGTATTATTTTGTGGAATATCCAGAGGAAAAATAAGACTATCCTCAATACTAGAGTCTCATGATATAAGTCAAATGGCAAACGAGTCTAACAAGGGTAATTATACTATAAAGATACATTTAAAAAATCATTGATATAGCCACAGAATCCAGAATAACATGTTATTTGAATAATTTTCATTAATTGCTATAGTTTACAAAGTTACATTTTGTAAATTCAAAAAGGCATGCTTTGTTGCATGCTTCGCATAAATAAAATAAAAAGAGTACATAAGGTAGAGCTCTAGAAAGGAATATTGTCCCCACATGGATTTGCTAAGATACAGGAGAGATCAAGAAAACCTATAGCTGCAGTGAGACACAGACATGGCTTTGGCAGAGAGTATTTTGTGAGTTGCCACTTTGCCCGCATCTATGTCCCAGAGCTGAAAGCAAACTGGACCTGGTATTAGATGTGCAAATTGTGTATTCCTTTTAGGAATGCATGGAGGAGATAAAGTTGGAGAGGAGATGACATATCTTTGAAAAATTCTACTTACGTGAGAGCTTTGACAGTTTATTTTCAGGAACTATTTTGTTTGAGATCTTTTTAAATGCCTGGGATATTGGTTATAATTTATTAACTTAATTTTTAATAAGTCATCATTCTGTTACTTTTTTATTGGTGTGATTGAGCAAACTCATTTTAATGTTATTTTAAAAAGAATATTAAATATATATGGATAGAATTATGAGTTGTAAGAGGCACAGTGTTTGAAACAGTATGTATTTTATTAGAAAAACGGTCTTGTTTTTGCAAGTTTAAGACCTCTGTTTGTTCCTCAGAGGATGCCTTATTGCCACTTGAAAACATGGCCAATGCTTTGGGGACTAGACTCCATCAACTCACATTCAGCATTGTTTCGACAAAATAAATTTAAAAATTCTTTGTTATGACAATGAGAGATTAGAAGTTTGTTAGAACCATTTTATTTAAATTGTTCATGACTTTGTGTTGTGATCATTGGAGATTTCTTAATGTGATCAGCACAACCTGGAAAGGAAAAACCTGAGCATTTATGTACAGAAATAAATAGGTTTACTCTTAAGATAACACTACAACTCAAAATAAAATCACAGTCCTTTTATCCTTTCAGATTTTCGTCCAAATTCAAAGAAAACTCAGTCCATGCATCTTTTCAGACTCATCAGTTTGCATGCATGTCACAAATTTGAAGGGTTTTGGTTATTTTTGCAGAGATATGATTAGGATGTAAAAATTCATCATATAAACATTCTTAATGATCAAAGAAGAACATTTTAGACAAGTAATTTTTTATGTCTATGTAAAACTTTAGATGGGTTTAATAGTAACTCTCGAAGTAAGAGGAATTAACATTTTTTTTTTTTGAATTTGAGTTGAAAGATAAAGACAAAAGAAAACAAGAACCAGAATATTTTCTCCTATTTAGTTATGAAGAGAACAACTGAAGTCCACAAATGCCACTTGCAGTATCTAAAGGTCTATAAGGTGCTGGCACATTCTGTTACAAAACACTTGTCACCTCTTTTTCCACATAGAGGTAGGAACGGCAGTGGGAAAGTCTTCAGTTGTACAAATCTTTAAATGAATTTTTACAACCCAGATGATGGACTGGTATACTTTAAAAGTGAGTTCATGAGTTTTATAAACACATTTCTCTTGCTCTCTCTCTCTTTTTTTCTTGACTAGCTTACATCATAATGGAGGAATAACATTTTAAAAATTTTGAATAGGCACTTACTGGAATTACAGTTAATCCTGATACAATCTAGATGGGGAAGAATAGATGAAAAATGAAAATTCATCCTTCAAGGTAATAGCTGCAGACATCCAATAAAATTACAGTCCACCCTTCCGGGGACAGACACATGCAAATATGGCCACTCAGTATCATTATTCTTTACATACTTATAAAGCCCAGGTGTATTATTATAAAAGTTTACCATTGGAAACAACAATAGAAGTTTTTTAAAATGGCCAATTCAAACAAAGCTACATGGTGACAAATCTAAGTGAAGTAAAGAGTTGTTAAATGTCAAAGATGTTTGGCTTAGACTGGCTGCAACTTTCTCCCCATCTGTGAAAGAACATATCACTGTTTTCTGCAAAATGTAAAAGTGCTCCGTCACAATGGGGTACAGTGCAGGTTCAGCTAGGCTCAGGCATCTTGGACCTCTGAAATCTAATATCCCACAAAGGCCAACAGAATCCTTCAGAATTGCAGTGGTCAAATGGAAAGCAAGTTAAAATTATTCTTATCTTGCTCTAAATGTTTTTGTTTTGTTTTTAAATTTTATTTGCTTGGGCATAAAAAGGTAACTGCCAGATGTTGGCTGGATTCCATACCTTGCGTTAATTGGAGGAGGAAAGAAACAACTGTATGATTCCTTTAGAAACTCCAGTGGCTAAGGAGCAGTCATTATTCAAAGCACACAGGCCTATGCCTCTCTTAGGAGCTAACAATGCTCTCTCTATGTAATAAGTGTCATAGTTCCCTTGATTTTCCTTTCTTGATTTTCCCTTTCTTATACCTGCTTTATATAAAAGCAGCTACTATAAAAACAGAACATCTGGTATGGGTAACACAAACTGTAATTATAGTGGTTATTTTTAAAAGACTATGTAGGATGTTTTCTATTTATTTTATATATATTTGTTGGTTTGGGTTTTATTATTTAATGCCTTTGGGGAACATAAAAAATATAAACCTAGATTCTGTTTCCATATAGCTAAGTTTGTCATGTGTCGTCAACCGCATCAGAAAAGTGGTTGCAAACAGCCAAGGACCAGCACCTACACAGCTCTTTCTACAGAATGCTTTGCTGTTCGAAAATTCTC